AGACTTCTTGACGCTTTCAACGTGATCTGAACTTGCGATTCCCCTCAATATTTGGTCCATGATGGCGTAAAAAACAAGTTTAAAAATAGCATTTGTTGATGAATCCTTCGACGTTTTAATAATTTTAGTCCTGACAACATACCCGGATGTCACGCGGTCAAGAGGTCTGGGAATGAAACACAAATATTCACCAACTTGTCCCCAGTACCCTAGTCGGGATTGGAGACATTTTTGGAGAAACCTTTCTTAATTCGATTGACCTAAATTAATTGTCTCTTTACTTTCTGTATACATATGCTTTCGTCTGGAGGACTTCAGCTGATTTTGTTTACCTGCTTTCATTGCGCTAAAAAGACTTCTAAAATCTTTAAAGGTATACATGTGTGTATTTCTCTTTAGAACAGAATATCCTCTGTTTCTTCTCTAACAGACAGCACTTGGACAGCTTTATCGTTTTTTCCCCTTCAGGATGTAGCTAATGTCTCGCATTATAGATCTTCCGACATCTCGTAAATAGGTCAATCTCAGCGAACCCTAATTAATCACTAGTTAGTTACCTATCCCCAAAATATCATATTTCTGTGGAAAAAAAATTCGACGGCATAGCACTTCCATAAAATAACTCTGCTTCATTCCGGCAATTTTGGACTAATCGTGGAACAAAATTTTTATTAGTTAAAACACATCCACTTAACTCAATATGCAAAGAGAATCTACATAGACATATTTTGGCAACCGTTCCAGAACATCTCTCTCTCTTTTTTATGGTCATTTAAAATTGGAAATATTGGCTTAGAACAATTTTGATTGAATGCTTTTCCCCATATTCTATGATATCCACTTCATTTCCGATTATTAAACGAGGCGCCAGAAAATCGGACTCAAATAAAGACTTTGCTGATAAAATAAGTACTCATGTCAAACCATCTGAAGAGCTTTTCAAAATCACCCTCACATTTATCTTTTATGTAAGCTTCTCGAAATTCAATGTTCTTAGACGCGGGAAAATTCTTAAGGGATTTGTTTTCCTTTTAACAGAACAAAACAGATTGAGGACATTATCCTGTTTTGAACAAAAGCTCAGTTTTCAGAATGAATAGTTTGGGACAATATTTACAAATCAGCACCCTTAAAAACTATTTGTGTACACCGCTTGCAAGGGCTTTGTGGTCTTTTGTGTAAGCAAGGTCGCAACTAATTAACCAATCGAATTTCTAGTTTTGAAATTAACTTTACAATCATGACGCTTCCATGGTGTCCGATTTCTATTATCTCATGACTGTTAACAAACCCCAACAAGAACAAGAGCGTGTACAACTTTTCTTATGGCACCCTCATGGTATTCTCGCGATAAAAATATTTGCCACGACAGCGTCAATCGGCTTGCAAAGAACCAAGTTTGCTCACTTTGAACTGACTTAGCGAAGGCAAACAGCGATAATCCGCAGAGAACATGCCTGAGGCCAATATCTGACGCACTGGGGCACAACAGTAAATGACAACTTATCAAGAACACGTCAAATTTTCATACAATATAAATCGATATCAGTTCCCAGGGGACCCGGTTCAAGAAAAAACCGTCGATCTAAATGGAATTTCGGACGTTGACAATGTCCTCTGGCTTTGCACTACTTTTAAAACATGTTTAACATTCTTTGACAAGTAGTGTTGTTCTGAGGGACGAGAACGAGAAGTAAATCATGGCGCAGAATGGCCGCGACTGTAGAACGTTCTATTGCCGAGAATGGGTGTTTGAAAAAATCCAAGCTTGTGTTGAACGGAGAAAACAGCAAGAAGATACTAAAACGAAAGGGGCTTTTATTTTAGGAGGACCCGGCTCGGGAAAAACAACAATTTTACGAGAACTTGTGTGTCCGACAACTGAAGATGGTGTTCAAACGGAGTTGGCGAAGAAGGTTGTTGCTTCTCATTTCTGCCAAGCCCAAAATGCAATTTCTGTTTCTGTTGCAGACTTCATATTAAGTCTTGCGAGGCAGCTCGCTAAAGCAGAGGAGCTGAAGGCGTACGCTGCTAAATTCAACGACCCCCAAATTCAAAATCACCTTAAAAGTGAACAGTGTATTCGAAATCCAGATCGTTCTTTTAAAGAAGGTATACTACTGCCTCTTAATTCGCTTCCACCGCCTCAAGAAATCTTCTTGGTCTTGGTGGACGCCATTGATGAATCTTACCTACATTCTTTCGATTCCGGCGTTGCATCTGGCAGCCGAACTGTTGCTGAATTAATGGCCACACACCACGATTTACTCCCTTCTTGGCTCTTTCTGGTGGTCAGTGCAAGAAAGCAATCGAAAACAGTCACTAGAATGTTCACAGGATTTCGAAAGTTTACTTTAGACGATCTTCGGAAGGCGCATGTGGTTAAGGACATTCAACAGTACATTTTGAATCGCTTAGACGACGAGCCCAGTTTGAGAAAACACCTAACCCGAGAAACGGCCGAAGCATTTAACCAGCTTCACATCAAAAGCAACGGTTGTCTTCTTTATTTGGAAAAATTGTTAGATGGAGTGGTAGATGAATTTTTTACCCTAGATGAGACCCAGGAAATTCCAGGCACTTTGTCTGGTCTGTACCTGTGGCTTTGTAACAGGTTATTCACAGAGGAACAAGTTGACAAGATCAGGTTGGTCTTGAATGTTATTTTAGCAGCTCAAAGGCCTCTTACTGACTCTGAAGTGTTCTATGCAGTCTGGACAAAAGACACAGATCTAACTATGGAAGACTTTTTGGAAACTCTTGACTTGATGTCACATCACATTCTCACTGATCACAATGGTGTGAAAAGCATATCCCATCTGTCCTTTGCTGAGTGGCTCTTGGATGCAAAGCATTGCACACCAAAGTTTCTTTGCAATCCAGCAGATGGGCATGCCATGCTAGCATTGCACTATACTCAACTCTCTCAGAAACAACAGCTGGCCCATCCACACCAACTTGCCTTCCACTTGAGCCGTGCATCTTTTAGGGAGTTTTTCACACAAGACCACCTTGCTCTATGGCTTCTGTGGAGTGGAACTCAAATCTCAGACATCCAACTTAACACAGATGCCCTGAATCAAGAGGTTGCACAGCTATTACTAAATGCTGGTGCCAAGGTTAATGAACTTGAAGAACAAGCTGCTTTGCTTCCCTTTGCACCAGAGACAGAAGATTCTGTCAAAGCTCTGTTGGAGAAAGGAACATCTGTTGATCGGGTTGACAGTTCCGGTAGAACATTGCTATGCAATGCTGCATTCAATGGTAATGTTGACGTAGTACGACTTCTTATCAAACACGGTGCAAATGTCAACTTTTCAGACACATCTGGACAGTCTCCACTAATGTTAGCATCAAGGCAAGGTCATAATGAAATTGTGTACCTTCTTGTGAACTGCGGTGCATCAGTTAATCACTGTGCTGATGATGGATGCACTGCATTGAGGGCTGCAGCGTCAGGTGGGCACACTGATGTTGTGTCTGTTCTTCTGGATCACTCTGCTGAAGTGGACTTGGCTGATGATGATAAACGTACCGCATTACGCGGTGCATCGTGGGGTGGTCACAGTGATGTTGTTTTACAACTACTTCAGCGTGGGGCAAACCCTAATCTTACTGACAAAGAAGGAAGGACAGCATTGATTGCTGCAGCTTACATGGGTCATAAGAAAGTTGTAGAAATACTGCTGGATCATAAAGGAGAGATAAATCATGCAGACAATGATGGAAGAACTGCTTTAGCTGTAACAGTTCTCTGTGTTTCATCAAGTGAGAATCACGAAGCTGTTGTTGACCTTCTATTAAGGTGCGGTGCACATGTTGATCATCCTGATTTTGATGGCTTAACACCACTATGTGTTGCTGCTCTAGAGGGATATTACAATGTGGCCAAGTTGCTGGTCAAAGCCGGGGCAGACACAGGACACTGGGACAGAAATGGACGGACACCTCTGTTTGCAGCAGCTGCTAATGGTCATTGCGATATTGTTGATTTGCTTTTGGCAACTTCAGAAGGTTGGTTCTCTTTTAATTTACAATAATTGTTCTTGTAGCAGGTAGTAACCATAGATATCAATCTTCTCTCTTTAACCAGGTTCCCATGTGTCTTAGAAAACCTTAATACTCTTGGAATCTGAGGTTGAGTCATGGTGATAAATGAAAATTGCATATTTTTTAGAAGATCAAGTAATGAATGCCTTCACTAAATTATTGTTTTTCACTTGTTTGGAAAGGATCTCTTGATTCTAGGTAACTAAAATCATTGAAAAGGTCCTGGAAAATTAAGAGAAGTTAATGCTTTATATGGTCGTTGGATCTATAAATATTATGCAGGTTACTCAATCCTTTAAGACGAAATAAATGTACCAGCTTTTCAATTTAATTGTTACTTCAGATAGGAAACCTGATCCCTTGACCTGGATGTCACCAACATTTTCAATGTTCCGTCCAGACCATAGTGGCTGGAACCCATTGATGGTAGCTGCCAATCAAGGTAATGTTTCTGTAATAAAATAAAAGATTCTTGAAACAGCTCTAGTATGTTGTGACAGGCATCTAACTTCTCCTTACAATATCACCCCTTGAATCAAACATTAAGGTCAGGAGAATAAAGGAATTGATCACCAGCTAAAGGAGCTCTTGATTGTTAAACAAATTCACCTTGTCAGCACCTTGAGAAATGTATAGAGAACAGTATGGAGAATATTCATATGGATGTTGGGGTGCAGGGCTGTGGTCTAGCAGTGCCTGGTGGCCCCTGACACCTTAGTTTTGCTCTTGGGCGACTTGGAAATTTTAGTTTATTCATATAAAAACATATGTTGGGTATCCTGTATTTTGAGGTTTCAGAGTGCTGGGCTCCCTTCAGTTTTTCTTGGAGCACAGCCTTGGGGTGTGAAGATTTAACCCTGTTTGGTGGGCAGGTGTTTCAATTGACTTTTTAGGTCTGTCTAGTTTTTGTAAATGAAGTAGACCTGAGCCTTGAACATCACCAAGAACATTCCAGATCGTCTTATACTTCATTTTTACCCGACAAAGCCATTTTTGAGTGAATTAAGTTGCTACAGATGAAACAGGTCATGATATTGTTTAGAAGTGGGTTTGCCTGAGAGAGCAACTTAATGCAATATTTGGCAATTTAAAGGCCACAAGGATCAGTTGAAGATATTGGTGGCAATCAGCAATCATATGATGTTAATCTGTTAATTCCCAATACATGATTGGTTATTCTCCCATCTACTGTTATGTATTTCCTTATTTCTATATAAAGTATTCAAGAGAGTTTAATGTTAGATTAATATAACAAATCCTTGCCTAAGAAAGTCATTAACCATTTTAAGGGAGCTTTGCAATAGCTGCCAAAATTTTCTCTTTTTTTTTTTTTTTTTTTCTAATTTTTTTATAATTAATTTTTCTGGTTTTAAAGATTTTGTTGCAAAATACCTATTCTACAATACTGCATTTTACATTGTACTCTACAATGTAGTTTTCTGATACTTATTTCAAAAATGATATTGCTACTAATAACTTTAAAACCTTTGTACAATGCAATTAGACTGGGTTTGTAGTATGTTTATAGCATGAATGTGTCAACCATGATGCACATTTTTCTATTACAGGGTACAAAGACGTAGTTTGTTCTCTTCTTGCTACAAACCTTGATGTCAATGCAGTTGATCCTGATGGTAGGTCTGCTCTGATGTTAGCAGCACAGGAAGGCCAAGTTGATGTTGTGTCAGCACTAATTGAGCATGGTGCACCCATTGAACAGGCGTCTTCTGATGGTCGCACAGCATTGCATTTTGCAGCCATGGAAGGGCATGAGGAATGCATCCAGCATCTAGTAAATCTTGGAGGAGATGTCAATCATCAGGACAGTCTTGGACGCACACCACTGTTTGCCGTTTCCATAGAGGAAAACAAGCAGATGGTGGAACTGTTGTTGGATCTTGGAGCTTTTGTTGACTGCAGGGACATGGAAGGAAGGACACCTCTTCAAGCAGTAGCGTGGAAGGGAGCTTATGAGCTTGTGGAGCTCTTTAGTAACAGAGGTGCAGCTATTAATCATGCAGATTGCGAAGGACGCACAGCTTTGATGTCAGCATCATGGAAGGGCCATGTTTCTATTGTGCAGTTGTTAATTCAAAAGGGAGCAAAAGTGGACAAAATGTCCCAAGAAGGAGCTACAGCCCTTTGTATCGCATCACAAGAAGGTCATGATGAAGTTGTGCAAATGTTGCTGGAGCATAATGCAAACATGAATCATGCTGATAAGCTGGGAAGAAGTCCGATGCAAGTTGCTCACGAAGCTGGTAAGCACCAGATTACAGTAGATAGCATTTTGGTATGTTGAATAAAATTTGTTCCTTAGTTGGTACTGTCAAATTGATGTCACTTTCCCATATATGCAAGTCCTTTTTCTTAAAATCCAAGAATTGACATGTTGATTACAAAAAAAAATTTCGGGAAAAAGTCAGAGCATTATTTACACCTTAATCCTTTAATTCCCAGAGATGATTAACATATAACTTCTCCTTGGAATATCCATGCATTATACAGTAAACAGGTAACGAGAATACTCAAACTTATTGGTTAGAAGTTCTTATCTTGATCTAATATCAAATTCTCATAACTAGTTGACAAGGAAATGTGTACCATTTTGAGGGGAGAATTAGCAATCAGATCTTGGACGTTAAAAGACTAATCTCACTTTGGAATACTTTAATTTATACAAAAGTTGACTTTGAAGAAAAACTACTGGTTGTTAACCCATTAATGGCTGCAGCTTTTGTGGAAAACTGTGTTTTGAAGCTAGTCGAGCAGATTTCGGGTCACTGTTGTGGTTTTAAAAGCTCAAACTTACCAAAAACCCCTTGACAGCTCATACACTCGATGGCCTTTCAATCCAAATGCAAAATGGCAGCCTGAAAATCTCAGGCACGCACAGAAAGCAAAATTTTGAGATTGAAAAGTAATGCCCCACTTACGACTTTTACTTTTCTCTCTTTCTCCTGCCCTTTGTTTCCCCTCTCCTTGCCTGAAGTTTCTCCTCACTTGCTGGAAATTTAGTAGGCTTCATTTTGGTGTAGAGATTCTTTAGGAAACTACTCATTATTTTCAAAGCACATGCTCAGAAAGGTAGGTGGGTAATGGAACAAGATTTTCGTGCAGATTTTCAGGTCAAAGTTACATGGTTTTTTGGCTATTTCTCCAATCTCCTTCACTCAATTGCGCTCACTCTGGTATCATTTGTAAGATATTTTCAACCTGTTCAAGTACGTGCTCAAAGTCGTGCTCCAGGGTTAAAAGTGATGACGTCACAAGACGTAGAAAGGGTGTGGGTCCCCATGGGCGCATACAGGCGCACTGGACGTCAATAGGTTAATGTATTTATTTTATCCATTTTACAATCTTGGTAGTTGTGTATAGATGGAGAATTTTTCTTTTTTAATTGAACCACCTCGTGGTTAGCTCAATGGATAGAGCGCTGGACTGCTGTGCGGGAGGTCGAGGGTTCAAGCCCCAGCTGGACCAACACTCAAGGTCTTGAAATAGATGAGAAGAATATGCTACCTTTCTATAACATCAAGAAATGGTTAGATATTCTAGTCTTCTCGGATAGGGACGAATAAATGGAGGTCCCGTCTCCTACAGGGTTAGGGGTAGGATGGGTGGGGTTTATTGGGTGGACCACTCGCATGGTTCGCATATGTTCCCTTCTAGTCCTACTCTACTGCAGTAATGCAGTGAAAATGGTTAGAAAAAAAAATATTTTGGTTCTCTTCTGTTTTTGCAGGTCATACAAGAGTGACCAAAGTTCTGGAGGCTTTTAGCGTGATGAGATTGAATGATGGTAATTTTACCAGTACATTGAAGAGAAAGCTATCATCAGCACAATCAGAAAGTAGCAGCACGGTCTCAAACAGTAGCCTGGCAGAGAAGCCACAAAGATCAGACAGTGTTTCATCCTCAAATAGTTCTGAATCTCCTGCTGCTTCAAGAAAGGAACTTCTAGCACCAGGTTCAACTCATACCCTTGGATCAAATGGAGAAATTCTTGAAGAAAGGCGTTACTCTGCCAGCTTCCATGACTTGCACACTGTTCAGCCTATCAAGGAGCCATGGAATAGGGCCTGCCCACCCTACACATCCGAATTGGATGTAGTGAAACCTCCCCCTTACACAGAGAAACCTGTCGGAACCTCTCTTGTGGAAGATGATGTGGTAACTGTTGCAACTGTGCCTTCTCCATCCAGCAAACAAAAGCAGTTTACCTTGCTCCACAAAATGAAGCAAAAGGGTAAAAGTGCATTCACTTCCAGTGGTCAGGGAAAACGTGGAAAGGTGATTGGCAAGCTTAAAAGTCAAGGTGAAAAACGTGGATTTTTCTCTGGCATTAAACAGCTTGGTGGAAGTGCCTCTGGTGCTGGTTCGTCCAAATCCCGAGAGGGAAAACTGGGAAATTCAAGGGGTTCAAATGAGTCCATGGAAACGAAAATCTAACTGTTGTTACTGTGGGCTTTGTGCTTGGCTTTCACATTTTAGTAGCTAAATTACTAAGTGGAAAAAAGGTTTTGTTTGCTCTTGACACAACGGAGCACACTGCTGTACCAACCTTTTACGCTAGTTTTTTTTTGTGGCAAATTTATGGTCTCTGTTAATGCAACACAATTTGAAAAGGATCAATTTTCAGGCAGGGTCTAATCCTGTGGAATATATATATCTTATTAACCAAGCGCGAGGGCCGTACTGGGAGAATATCGGCCTGAGGTCTTGACAGTACGGACCAAGCGCGGTGAGGTCCATACAAAAAAGACAGAGAGCCGATATTCTTCCAGTACGGTCCCGAGCAAGCTTGGTTAATAAGAGATTTATTATAGGACTGAAGTTCAAAGGGACACAAGTGTAGTATCATTCGGAACCATTCGGGACAGTGCCCGGTCCAATACTTAGAGAATATTGGACCGGCAATAGAGCATTTTGATTGGTTGATTTTAGTTATTGGCCCTCTGACTGCCCAAGTCGTGTAATAAAATTCACTGACAGATTCTATTTCAGATAAGGAGAGATGATTGTATGAAATCTTTCAGACATAGTTTGTTACTTGTTAGGTCATCTCTTCAGCTCTGTTAGTCTCAGTATTGGTTTAAAAAGAAGGGAGGCTGATCTCTCTGAAGTTGATTTGTAATTTTCTGTCAGGGAAGTTTGCATTATACAAGAGAGGTAAATAGGAGCTTGAATGCAGTTACTCTTCATCCTTCAACTCCCAGAAGTAATTAGCACGTTACTTCTCTCTACCATATGCATACATTGTCCAGCAAACAGGTAATGAGAATACTCAAAATTATCAGGTAGAAGTTATCTTGATCTAACACCAGGTTCTCATAACTAATTTACAAGAAAATGTGTAGCAGCTAGAGAGGAGAATTAACCATCAGATCTTGGAAGTTAAAGGGTGAAGAGAAATTGGAGTGAAATCTTTTATCTTTTGCTTCATGAGACAATTACTTTAAGTTTATTTTCATCAATAGGTGCTCAGTACACGAGGCAGTTTAAATTAATCAGAGATAAATACTGATTCTGTTCCATGCTTAGATTGTACAACTAACAGTGAAATATCTACATGTTGAAGGTATTGAATATTTTAAAGTGTTGTTATTGTAACCATGAAAAGAATAATTGTTACAGAAAGCAACAGTTATGTTTTTACAGTATAAATCTTTACATATATGCCTAAAAGCTTATTTAAAATGTGCAGTATGCGACATGTGAATGAAAGAATACAAAACATTTACATAGAGAAAGGTTATAAATTTTTTTGCCTGTCAAGTTTTCTCTTAGAGTGGTGTTTTGAAATTCAATGATGGACACATTTCAGAAAAATGTGATGTTTGTACAATTTTTTTAATTTAGCATAGTGTAATGTATATTAAGGTTAAGAAATAGCAACTAAAAAAATAGCATTTTTAAAGCTTGTTGAAATTATCTAAATGCACTCAATAATTTGTTAAGTCAATTAGAATGAAGTAGCTTTTATGTGATAACATTGTTAGTATTCATTACATTACATATAATGAAATAATTCTTGAAATATTGCCTTGAATTAGTATATGATAACACCAAGAACCTTTTGCAAACTCTATAACTGAAGTCTCCCTTTTGCAAATTAAGCTTTTATTAAACAGCAGCTTTTTGAAAGTGTCCAAATCAAGCTATGTTTGAGATTTTGACCAAATACAGATTTAACACAGCACAGCAGAAAAGTCAGCCAGCATTTTTGCCCAAAGTACACCCACTTAATATCTTGTCTTATCAGTTACTGATGGAAAAACTAGGAATGAGATCCTCTGCTGCAATCTGTGCTGCGACAAAATGTTTCTCTTTTTGTAACATAACAAGGAATAAGGCACATACTGGATGCATGCCCCATTCATCCTAACCAACTTCTGGTTCTTGTGGCAGCAGTGCATCACATTATCAGTCAATTTCCAGGTAATAACCTTTAGTCTTTTGGTTTAGTGGCAGAGCACTCTGCCTCCTAACCAAAGGGATTTGTACCAACATGATGAAGACTGGGTAACACTAAGTTCAAAATCTGTCCAAGGTCCACGGTACAGCGAGACACTCGGTCAGGAAAATTTACTCCCTCCTCGAACCCGTGACGTCGAGAGGGAAAGAGAGAGAGAGAGAGAGAGAGAGAGAGAGAGAGAGAGAGAGAGAGAGAGAGAGAGAGAGAGCCGAACCGTGTCAGCGGTAAATTCATGGGAGTATTTCAAAACATCAAAGATGGCGACCTCATCAGCAACATTTCCATCTCTTCTTCCCCGAGTTGCGGACAATCTGTGGTTCACTTTGGAAAAGAGATCAGACGATGACGCTGCCTTAGCGAAAGAAGAGGAAGAATACGCTGCTTCGGTTTGTTGCTAGAGATTTTTTTTCTCTGCTTGTACCAAAACAAACGAGTAGTTTTGAAAATAGTTTTTTTTATATCAACGGAATTATAAATTAATGTAAAATTACTTAAAACGACAATGTGCAAGTTTCCCTTTGATCCTCGGAAACCCAAGTAGGAAGAAAAATTTTGAAGAACTGAATAATATGATCAAAGTACAGAAACTAAGATCTGCGAATAGAAAGCGTTGAGAGAAACTTACAGCTAAATTTTGATGTAACTGTAAATGTACACAGAAGGATACCTTTATATTCTGATGGTGTCATGAACGCAATAGCCTGCAATTTTTAGGAAGTGCGAGATGTTGTTTTTAGGTTCCTATGGGTTTGCTGGTGCAATAAATGAAATATTTTTTGATATATTACTGTATAACAGTGGACATTTCTATGGCAGCTAAAAAGGATTGCAGAAAAGGGCTTTGATATTCCTCCAGTCGGTACCAATAAAACCAAAGACAGGCAGGAGGTGAGGTTGTTATTTATTCATTATGTATGATATGTGTACCAACTTGCCTTTAAAACTGAAGTCTTGTCTGAGGAGATCCCCCCCCCCCCCAAAAAAAAAAATGTCTGATTTGAAAGGATACAAGATATTTGGGATGAAATTACAGTGTTAAGTCAGGGAGACAGTCTAAGTGACAGGACACTACGAAAAGTTCTCTACTGTGGGACTTGGTACACATATACTCCACAACATTTTGGGTTTGGAGGCAGTAAGTAAAGGCCTCACCATATTTTAGATGCTAACCATTTTACTGCAGGGGGGTTGACCAATAAGTTACTTCTCCACCCAATGTCGACATATGAGTAGCAGAAAGGTCTGGAGAGGAGATAGTGATGTTAATTAGGAGATATTGTCTGATTTAACATTAAATTCTCAAAGCAAAATGTAAGACAGGTAGTAGTGAGAATGAATTTTTAGATCTTAGAAGTGACAGGGTCAACTAGCTAAATATTTTTCAAATTAAGCCCACTTGTCTCAAAGAGAAAAATACTGGTTTTCAAAGAAATAATTTTTTCCCATGATGAATTGGAATGGGTTGAGGAACTAAATAGTTAAAATTTTGGTAAGAATGACTTAAAAGTCTACTCTGCAATCACTTATTTTGAATCTTTGGTCACTCTTGATATCTTGATATCATTCATAAGAGACTTGATGAAGATGATGACGAGATTGAGGATGATGATGATTCAGCAGAAGAAATTGAAGATGAGACTGATGAATATGAAAGTCCAGATGCTGAATCAGTTGAGGGCGAGGTATAAAAAAAACAAGGCTTGCTCTATGAATATTTCAACTAGTTGTTGCAGTTTTGTTTGAGATCAGAACTAGGATACTGTCAAATTCAGAACTATTGTTTTGCCAAGGGAACTATGCAAGTCAGACAGGAGATAACTCAACAGTAAGTGGGAGGGGTAATGAGATTGTGGTTTTGTGTTTTTCTTGATCTCCAGATTGGCTGCTAGGGCATAAGAAACAACAAAATATTTTTAATGATTGGAAGTTGATAAGGAAAAGTGAAGAACAGCTCCCCAAAAAACTGTCGGCCGACTTTTGATTAACTGTTGGTCGACTTTCGGCCGGCTGTTGGCCAACTGTCGTTTACCGCCTTTTATGAAAATCTTCTGCCAACAGTCGGCCAACTGTTGACAGCATGTTGGTAATCTTTTCCTCAATTTTGCTATGATTTGGAATTATCTGACCTAGGAATACTGAGCCTTTGTCTGTATATTGACTAATCTACTTTGTATCATTATGACTTCCCTTTGTAATTTTTTACCCACAGGTTGAGATGGAGTCAAGTCTAATTTAGGTTTCCCTTTCAAATGAGATTGTTATCAAGATGTTTCCCATTATGATGTTGTACATCTTGGAAAGCATTCGTTAAAATTTATTTTGGAAAGAGTTTGACCCCTAATCATGTTGTGCAAGAATGCCCACAGAAAGCTCAATCTGTATGCTGTGCAGTTAAACATATAGGGGCTAGATAAATGTAGTTGGTTGTAATGGGTTGTGGCAACTACTCAACCTCTGCTACAAATGGTCTCTTATTTATTAATTCAATTTTTATTTCAATTTTTAAATTTCGTGGTTTCTACCTTCTCCTGTGGAGTACCATCTTTATGTATTGATGAGCAGAAACTGACAGGATGGAACTCAGGATGGAACTCAGGAAGAAAATTGTATAATGCCACATCTTTGTATTTGTGAATATAGATGTTATAGTTAATAAAATGTCAACAGAATAATGTAGAACTAAAAGTGTTTATACCTCTGGTGTAGCACAGTATCATTAAAGCTTGACTATTCCAAGATGGTGGACATGTTTTAGTATCTACAACTTAGAGAGACTATGTTCATTTGGACCAGGGTGGCTTGGACAACCCTATTGCCTCAGTTAGCTTGTGCAAGGTAATGTGGCTCACACTGAGAACTGTATTTTGTTTTTGGGGTTAGATTACTTCCAAACAAATAGACTTTTAAACAATTTGATCAGCATGTGCCAGTGAAGTTAGTTGTGTCTTCTTTCTTATGCACATCCTTTCTGACTAGGGCATTATTTGGAGAAGGTATGGGATACAGGGATGTCACAAATCTTGCAAAGGTTCAACATACAGATTCAAACTTGTAGAAGGCAGTCACCCATGGGGAACGGTGAGTTGACTGCTACACATGGGTTGACTCGCATGATGTGCATGTTTGACATCAGTTAAAAGAAACAGTTCTAATGGCAAGAATTGTTTGAATAATGACTGTCATTTTAATCGTTTAATGTCACTTCAAAATAAAATCTCAAATTCTAAAACGACGATAGAAAACAAATACAACGCTGTATGCACTATTTTAAGATATTTACATTATGTAAGAATCTTCAGAAGCAGCAAAATGACTGTATCTGATGGTATAACTAAAACTTTTTTAAAGAAAGTAAAGTTAGCGAACTCCAGCTTTTACGACCTCTACGTACATTTGAAACTAAACAGTTCAGTTCATTCCAAACGGTATCTTGACAATTTTGGCGCCAAAGTAACAGTAAGCTTTAGAGTCACGTTGAACAAGACTTTCGCTGGAGCTGATGGCTCCTAATGGAGCCGTTGTTTGTTGAATTCGAGGAGATTTAATACTCCTGGCTCTGTGAGGAGGTCTTTCCAGCTTTCTTATCGGCCTTCTTAGGCAATAGCACAGCTTGGATGTTTGGCAGGACGCCACCTTGAGCGATGGTGACTCCAGCCAGGAGTTTGTTGAGTTCTTCGTCGTTACGTACTGCGAGTTGAAGGTGGCGAGGAATGATTCTTGATTTTTTGTTGTCTCGTGCCGCATTGCCCGCCAATTCCAAGATTTCGGCGGACAAGTACTCAAGGACGGCAGCAAGGTACACCGGTGCACCAGCTCCAACTCGTTCGGCGTAGTTACCTTTTCTCAAAAGACGGTGGATTCTTCCGACGGGAAATTGAAGTCCGGCTCGGGATGAACGGCTCTTGGATTTTGTTCCCTTGGCTTTGCCTTTTCCGCGTCCAGACATCTTGAAATAATTTGCTAAATTGTACAACAGATAACTCCTGAGTCGAGTTCGAAATAACTCTCACAGCGTGTCGGTTTTAGTTTTTATATCAGCCCACGGATCGAAATTCACCAATCGAATTTCTTGTTTTATCTCACAGTCGACCAATGGAAACATAGACATGCTTTCTCAGAGGTCTGTATTAACTTATGCTGTGATATATGTGATATATGAATGACAAAGGTCTACTGTTATTAAAAATCTTAATTAATTATTATGTTAATCAAATATTCGAAAAGTCATTACCGAAAAGAGAAATTTCGTCAGGAGACGAAGAATACACAAGGTTTTCGATAAAATATATCTCACTAGTCTCAAAGCTCAATTTTGCGATCATTTTAATGGTACACGACCCTGTTTTTGATTTCATTTTGGCGCCAAGGATCGCGCCCGCTTTTAGCGGAAAGGTCATTCTAAAATCCGCCTCCAATGAATATCAAGTTGTTGACAGATTTAATGTGTTCATTTCACACACGTTAGCCAAAATTTTTCCTTCAAGTGGTAGTATATTTGTCAGTTCAAGTAGTTTCAGAAATATATCTTTTTTTCCGCAACTGTGCCAAAAGATGGTCAATCATAAAAATAATAATAAATAACTGTATTTTCTTTCATGCGCGCCAAAGATCCCTGTTCCAGTTGAATGAGTTGATGATGAATTAATACCACTTCTGTGCATGTGAAAATGCCATAAATAGAATATCCTTTCCCAATTCCATTGACCTTTCTTTAGATCCTCTAGATTTACATGCTATTTCTGGTTTTCACCGTTTCCTGACGACTAAAAAAGTTCAAGGTAGACAAAAGAATCTCGTGACCATTTCTCACGGGGAAGGCGGGGGTGATGGTAACTACATGTCTCAATATTTTTCTACGGGAGAATGATAAGATAAATGAATTGCCTTTACCTCTTGAACATCCCGGTATTATGATAACCTCTTTAGCAAGCCCCGATGGTCCTCGTCGGTCCAGGCTGATAATAGACAAATGTTGTACGAACTAGGGAGGAGGAGGGAGAGTTGCTAACGAGCACCTCAGCATCACATGAAGCCCAGACAAGCGACGAGTCTGGTTGTTTATTCGAAATATAAAGGAATGTATGGGAGAATATTGAAGAGTCTTATTATCGTAAACTTATATCATGAAATTTCTGAATGTAAACCTACCTCACTTGCTGTGTATTGTCGTTTGTGTGGCTCTAAATGGCGAATTTGAGCGATTTGGTGGTGGAGTAACAGTCGACTCAAAACCCACCAAATCGCTCAAATTCGCCATTTAGAGCCACACAAACGACAATACTCTGCAAGTGAGGTAGGTTTACATTTATTTTGAGCTTTAACTCAGACATTTCATGATATAAGTTTACGATAATAAGACTCTTAAATATTCTCCCATACAACCAGACTCGTCGCTCGTCTGGGCTCCCTGTGCTCAGCAGGCAGCAGCATATTAGATTGTACTAGATTCAGTAACGTGGGTTTTGAAACCGGAATTCCACTGACCCTATTGTTACTCGGTGGGTTTATGACGATACTTGACAGAAAAAACCCTGACCCTCTCAGCTTCAATGGCAAACAACATCCAAGGTCTCCACGGGTAAAAAGGAAGAGTCAAGAGTCGCACAGGCACTAGATTCAGTTACGTGAGTTTTGAAACCGGAATTCCACCTTACTGTTACTATGTAGATTTATGACGATATTTAAAAAGAAACCTTGATTCTCTCGGCTACAAAGGTAAACAACATAACAAATATTCAAAGCCATAGTTTCCTTTCGTGCCATTGGAAACACTTGCCACTCCTCTTTCACTTTCTACTTGCTAGTACATATTTCCCGTGGTAGCTTTGAAGAGAACAGATGACAATCTAATCAAGCCGATTTTAGCATCAAGGCACATAGTGATCATTTGTTTATAACTCTTCAGGTAATTTTTTGATTGTTTGAGTATAATATGTGATGTTGTTGTTGTGTAGATTGGTACATAAAACCTAATGCAGGTCAGTAGTATAGAGGAAAAACAATGTCAGTGTCAGTTCTTTGATACGAGCTCATCTAACCACATGTACTTATTTAAAACCCATCCTCCTAAATGAAAACATATCTCATTTGAAAATTCGTTTAAGAACCTATGCTTACAAAGTATAACTCAGTAGTAACAGGACTAAAACTGAAAACTAGGAAAAGCATTAATCGATTCATCGCTTACGCGATGTAATATATGGAAAGGTCAGAGTTTTCGGAACAAAATTATCCCTTCGTTTCGTCAGGAAATTTCAGCCTGGTTATCTCGATAGATAAAGCGCAATATTTCAAGTTTTATTTTCGGTAGCATTTTTTTTTTCTTATCCCGGTATTGAGAATCCCGTATTAATATTAAATAGGTTCAGTCCACCTCCTCATATTCTTCCCAAGAAAGAGTCCCAAGCGGAGTTCTCAGAAACTGTTTAAAGGGAGTTTAGGGAAGACCACATTTTTTTTCACCTTAACCGGAAGTCTTGTTAGCAAATTCTGTACCAGCCTTCAAGGAAGGTGGCCAACAGGAGGCGAACGATCCGATGTCGATTAGATGTTCTCAAATATAGATATAACAGTCACGAAAAGGGTAGATATTTCTGTCAAACTTGAAGACTATAAAATATTTTCTAACCGGAAGTTTTGGTAAAAAAAAATGAGAACTTTCCATCTACTTCCGTTTCCATAATTTATGTTTCCTGTTTTTGCATGACGCCGTGGTTTGATTATTTTATACCAGAGGAACTTTTCTGTCTATGAAGAAGGATCATTTCCACTCCATTTAAAAGGCATTACGGCCCTGGAAATTTCCGGTACTGTGTAGATTGATGTGTTTTAGTGAAAATTTGTGTCAGGGTAAAACCCCCTTAAGTCGGAAGACCACTTGGTCTTAATGCGAATACTGACCATTTTGTCGGTAATGCAGGCTGGGAACTCCCCGAGGAAATGACTTCTCTGTATTCCACCACGGAGCTACTTTATCCAAGAACGAAAAGGCGAACGATCAGAATTGTGAGTTCGAAAGCTCAGCCATTGCACACACCAAGGAGAGTACGATTCCGAGTGGCAAGCAAGCTCGGCGAGAAATCTCGCATGGAGATAAAGAAAGTTTTGATTACTGATAAGAGCTCAACAACGTTGAAGATAAAGCGAGTCGATTTCAAAACAAACCCGATTCCAAATGAAAGAAATCACTCGAAGCCAAGTTATCAGTCAGGAGTATCACTAGAAGAATCCGCAAAACGGCGCCCTTCTCGAGCTCGACGTTCTACCACTCCTGGTTCAGGGAAAAAAGAGAAACCTGTAAGAACATACGGTAAGTTCAACGGGCTCGATATTCGTAAACCAGCATTTAGCAGTGCGACAAGGCCACAGTCTTCGCGAGATTGCAGGGCGTATGATTCGGCGAAAAACGTGGGATCTGATAGGCATCGCCGCCATACAAGTACTGTTACAAGACAGAGGGAAGTATTTAGCACTACAGTGAAGCAGAAAGCTGATGTTAAAACGCTGGAGGAGCGAATGTCTTCAGGCCGCGCGAAGAGTCTACATCGACGCAACAATCATTTATACTCTCCTGTAAACAACGGCCAATCGCGCCCTTTACAACCTGCAACAGCGGAAAGACCTGTTGGCAGCTCAAGGTAGGCCAAGTCACGCAAACAGATAAA